ACACACACACACACACACACAGAGAGAGAGAGAGAGAGAGAGAGAGAGAGAGAGAGAGAGAGAGAGAGAGAGAGAGAGAGAGAGAGAGAGAGAGAGAGATTCACTCAGTGGGAGGGTTTTGTGTCTCTAAGGTCTGTGAGATGGCGAGACGACGTGATCTTATGCTCCACGGATGAAACACTACTCGGACACACTTGTCGGTGCCCTGGCAAGTGAGGGGGAAAAGATTGAAATTTGGTCCTCCTGCGGCTTCCACCGAGTTCTGTTCCCGCAAACGTCTCGTCGTACAATGCGAAAATGCCGTCTTCTTCTTTTCAATCTGTGTCTTCTTCTTCGCCTTCTTCGCCTTCAACCAGCTTCACCGCTATGCGCCTTACTACCCTTAGCGATGGTGAACACTGAACACTGAACCCTTGGCGACGCCACCAGGCTATGCCGAATCACCCTCATTTGTTAGCAAATCGTCCTCTGAGTCTCTGACTCCTTGCCCTCCCCTGAGCCTTCTCCCTGTCCTTCTCTTTCCACCCCTTGAGGTCCTTGACCATCCCCAATCGGTCAGTGCTCGATGCATAGATGGCAGGCTGAAATGGGACCACACATGTCCTATCATACCCACTTCCTCTCCCTTCTCCACCTCCCCCTCATGCTTAGCTATGGAGATAACAGGAACGAGATGGCCTATAGCGGCCAAGCTGAAGACGTACCCTCTCCTCCTACTTACCTTCCAATTGATCGACACTATGACATCGAGTCCACAGACTCCACACTCAACGATGAGATCATCAGACCGAATCCGCTGCGGCACTCGTGCACTTAATAGTAGGTGCAAAGGGCCCCTCCCGTAAGTCTTTCAAGACGAACAGCTGCGGTCCTGCGGATATGATGGCTAGCCTTAACAGGTAGAGCGTCGAGAGTCCCGCGCAGGCTCACCAGTCCTGCCAAGGCGATGGAAGTAAGGTACCGTCCATACAGTGATGGTCCCATGTGCATGAATCAGCAGCATGATGTCTGCTGTCGCTTGCAACATCGCCTAGTACGCTCAACATCATCAGATACAATGGCAAGTGCGCTCCCCAGAGTTGGTGTCGAAAGGCCAGTGCACTGCAATCCAGCAGTACTTAGATAGCGAGCTCACCTCAGCGGAGTCCTCGAGGCAACAGCGTCGAGAGATGGTGGAGAATGACACAAATCAAGTAATGGGGGCTGTCTATCAGGGTTCAGCAGATCCTTCAAGTGAATCAAGTCCCCATCTACAGAAGACTTAGAAGCATCACATCACCCAAACTAGAGGAAGGTACCCAGTTCAATTTGTCTTCCAGACTGCCCGACACACACGACACACACCAGACTCCTACCCCGTTTGTGATTGATTTGATTTGATTTTTTTTCCAATGGCATAAACCTTCGGTCCGAATCGGTCGTAGGGATCGACGAGGCGTGTGTCACTCAGGCTGTCCTGTGCAGTTCACGACTGCAGTTCGCGACTGCAGTTCAGTGTTCACGACAACGTCAAGAAACAGGCCTGGAGAGTTAGGAGGGGTTAGGAGGGGTTTATCTTTAGGGAGGAATGGAGGGGACGACATAGAACTGAGAGAAGAGTGCCGTTTGTACCTGTATTATCTGTATACATGAGAGGAGGTGAGGGAGAGCGGTATTACGTAACGAAAGCTTCATCTTTGCGTTTGACGCCCCAGCAGAATCTTCTACACTCTGTTTGAAAATTGTCGCCGGCAGGGCCCGGCACTACTGTTAATGACCGCCACCAACCTCGCAGCAATTGCCCACGACAGGCACATGAAATTCAACTGCTGCCCGATTTGCTGACTATCCTAGCCTGCTACTCATCCCTTCTCTCTCTCTCTCTCTCTCTCTCTCTCTCTCTCTCTCTCTCTCTCTCTCTCTCTCTCTCTCTCTCTCTCTCTGTGTGTGTGTGTGTGTGTNAACATTATGATGGGAGCAGGGTGACTGCTAATGTGGGGGGAGACAACAAAGCTATGTTTGCAGGGGTCCCCCGGAGGTTGATGGGTCCTTTTCTATTCGTGCGGAGCTGCACCTGCTGGAAAACGGGACCAGAGTCCCTGTGACAGAAATAGCAGGCTCTGAAGGAGCAAGTGAGGATTCGAACCCAAGATGGGAATGAACCCTAGTGTAGCGGGGAGAGTGAGCAAACAGGAAAAGGAACGAGAGAAGCACTTTGGTGGTTAGATCGTTTTGCACTACCTGGCTCCCGCGTTGCCACAGGTCCGCGACGAAGAGGGAGCTGACCGATGACCATCGCTGAGCTCGGGGGAGTAGAACAGCAAGATGTCGCAACGAGGAAGCGCACGGGAACCGCGGCAGAGAAGGCGCGATCAGCGAGTGAGGCAAGCTAAGACAATCAGGAGACGGTCGCGGGGTCTCGTAAAGGGGAAGAAAGGACAGGGAGATGGTGAAGGTGCTGATAGGGTGAGGGATTCGCATGCAACAAGCAATTGCTGAGCGAGTGAAGCAACCCTCACAGAGGCAGAGGACAAGTGCAAGGGCATTGACAAGAAGCGGGAGGCGTGAGGAGTATCCATCGAACTCGAATGGATTGGAAATGAACATCTCTGAGAGGAATTGGTTTTTATGACGAAGAAACGAAGACGGCTGGCAGTCGCGGTAGAGGGACGGTAGCAAGGGAACGGATCGGAACTGAGTCGTCAGTGGACGACCGCGTGGACCAGCGAAGGCAGAAGAGGGGCGGAGAGACGGCGAAGGTGAGGACGTGAGAAACCACTGGGCTAGAGAACTATCCCTCACAAAAGGCAGAGGAGACACGCTGCACAAGGTCAAGCGAACGAGAGGGGAGACACAGGAGGCGACAGAGAGCAACGAAGAGACAAGCACGCGCCGGAGTGAGGACCGAGTTCATGGAGGAAGGAGGCAGAGCCGTCATAGCGTCGGGGTAAGCGAACGATTCAAGACAAGTGCATCCCCCTTACGCCGCTTACGGGCCCTGGGTGAGATTACCACTCGGTGGAGGGGGAGCAAGGTCAACAGCAAAAGGGGGGCTAGAGCCCTGTGGGTAAATGAGCATACCCCTATCCCGTCCCAAATCCCTTGCACAAAAAAAAAAAAAAAAAAAAAAAAAAGGGAAGCAGAATAAGGGAAGGAAAATGAACCTCGCTAATAATTGCAGCAAGAAACACAAAATGGCCCCGACATGGAGAAAGAAGCAGAAACTACCAACCATGATATTTTATCAAGGGGCCATGAGGCTCCATGCAGCACAAAGACTCTTGGCACACCCGGGAGCAGGCTCAATGGCAGCCTCATCCGGATCTGCAACCGAGGGTACCGCTCAAATAGGGGAGGCGCGGGAGGGGAAGGAGTTAACAGTGCAAACACAGAAGGCGCAAGGGGACCCCCAAACGTGTCAATCACGCAAAGTGCAGCAAACACAAGAAGGTGAGCTCTGTTGCCGCGTGTTCATTGAACGCCCGTTTCGTGCTCAACTTTTGAACACGTTGAACACGCGTTCACTGAACGCGGTTGAACGCTTTTGACGCGTTCGCGCAAAAGCCGTGTAGTGTTGGGGGCGGCAGGTTTGGGGTGTGGGGGGGACTGGGTGGCGGGGGAGGGGCCAACGGCCTCGCAAAAGAAAAAAAAACGACCAAATAGTGGCAAAAAAAAACACAACGAACCATCCGTATATGGCAAAAAATATGTGCAAATAATGCAGCAAACTTTCCGCTCACTTCTGAAAGTCAGAAAGCAAGATGGAGAAAAGTCAGGGCCATGCCACACCCTAAAACTGTGGCCACATGCATAGGCATGTTAGCATTCATGTCCTTCTTTTCTTTTCTTTTCTTTTTTCCTCCTAATTGTGTTTAGCCTCTTTTTCGAAGGGCCCTCACAACAAATTAGCTAGGACCCCACGTGCAGCAGAGGTGGACTTCAAACTTCCATTTGCCAGCGGCCCAGCATGAGCAGAGAATATATAGTCTGGATTCGAATTCAGGTCTGTGCATCTCGGTTATGGGTCATTGTTTTTTTTCCCTCCCCTCCCCTCCCCCCTCTCTCCCCACCCAAGTGGGCCCCACAGCAGCAGCAGGATATGTTCGACCATTGCATCCTTATGTTTCTGGGTAGCTTTCAAAATTATACAGAAATTGGACGATCTGGGTTCATTGTTCTTTGCACATAACTCACTTCGTTCTGTGGAGTCTGGACACAACTGCAGCTAAGGATATATTGTTGTCGAACATGGAAAAGAAGGACATAGGGCCTTAGGCCATACTCGCTTACACTTTCTGGATAGAGAGTCTCAGACTGGCGTTCATCGGGCGTTCAGATGCATGCCATTGCCAGTCATTGCCAGAAGGTGCTGCTGGTCTGAGTAAATGGCCTCAATGCTCGCGGCAAAGGGTTCCCTAATTGGGCGAAAATTGCAGAGAGAAAATGCCCCCTCCACGTGGCAGTTGCTGAATCAAGTGCCCAATTAAGTGATATGAGCACATGGGCGTCAGCCTTCAGGATAGCAACGAGGTTCTTTTGCACGGGTTACCTTCTTCCCCCGAATACATCGTACGGTACGGTCATTATAGCTGTACCTAGGCTAGACTGAAAGATGCCTCAAATACAGCTATAATGACCGTACGTTTTATTCGGGGGAAGAAGGGAGTACAGTGTCACGGAGGCATACTCAAGAGTCGAGACCACCGTCTTCACCCGGGGCTAGGTCCCACTTACACGAATTATTAAGCGATATTGACCGTAGATAGCAAAGATCAACGGGCAGAATCTCTTAATCACCGTGCAAGTGGGACCTTGCCCCCGAATAGAACGCCCGGGCACTACACTATGATAGCTGTAGTGCCCGGGCGTTCTATTCGGGTGAAGACGGTAGTCTAGACTCTAGAGTCTAGAGTATAGCTCCATATATTACAGCTATAATATATACAGCTACAATGACCAGGCCCTCTACTTGGGTGAAGTTGCTAGGACTTATCCCTATTCCCTATTCATGTGACCGAATGGACGTCTAGATTCGGGCTAGATTCAGTTGAGAAAAAAGTCTTATTATTAGTAGAGCCTAAGTCAGAGCAACAGTTTGACACGTTTGGATAATGTTATTAACTTTTTTCTTTTTTCTTTTTTTCTTCCCCAAAATTATTAGAGAATCTGATGTGATCGCCGGCCATCCCCAGTGGCCAAGTCCCACTCTACCACCACCGAGTTTTTCCTCAACGCCCGAATGTGGACGTGTTAGGGGAGAGGTGCGGTTGACGAACGTCAACTCAACTCTGTTTTCTGCACATCTCCGCAAACACGTCCACGTCCAGATTTGGGCGTTGAGGAAACTCAACCCTGCTACCGTAGTGGTACCTGGCCCCTGAGGCCAAGTCCCACCAGCAGCGTTGAATTTCCTCAACACCCGGATCTGGACGTGTTTGCGGCGATGTGCCGCTGAGGAAACTGAACGCGATTTTCTGCAGAACTCCACACAACGCGTCCAGATTCGGCTGCTGAGGAAATTCAACGCTGCTACTGGGACATGGCCCCTTGGAGTCGGCACATGGTACGTACAAGCGAAGGGCCTCCTGAGTTGCATGAGGACTCTCGGATGGCAATTTGTTTATTTCTTTATTTCTTTATTTATTTCGAAATTCAATTGACGAGGCCGGGGACCTCACAATTCAACCCGGAGTTATCCCGGGCCTAGGTCCCACTTGCACGAATTAGGCTATATTGACCGTCGATAGCGAAGATCAACGGCCGAAATCTCCTAATCCGTGCAAGTGGGACCTTGCCCCCGGATTTAGCTTATTCTAAACTAGCAAAATAAAATGAAATCGCAAACCAAATAAATCCAGACACACTAACCAGTACCAACCTTATCTACTACCATAGACCCTAGGATCAGAGTGGTCCCCTCTTCCCTCACTGTCTGAAACACTGTGAAGAGCCTGAGCTTGCCAAGACGGGTTTCTCACCACGCACCCAATGGATACATCTCTTTTTTTTTTTCCTTTTTTTTTATTCCTTTTTTTTTTTTTTTTTTTTTTTTAAAGGGCCACAGTCTTGCGATATATCCACAGGTGACCGGCCCTGGGTAATTCGAGATTGTTATGGAAGTTATTATTGTAGATTATATGTCATGATCATGACTTATTGAGCTTCCTAATGGATACATCTCAAGTTTGCTTTTCACTGGTTCTCTCTTTCCTTCCGGCCAGTAGAGTTCCCACTGCCCCTCGTCACACTCCCACTGTTCAAGGTGGCTCCTCGGACTACTAGTAGTTCCGTGGACTTCACTCTGAGCTATTCTAAATTACTTCCCTCATCTGTTGGTGAATTTGGGCAAGAGCCTTCACAGAACAACTACATACCAACTACATACCTCACCCACAATGATTCCCTCAATTCTATCCGGGGGCCAGGTCCCACTACCTTCTTCCCCCTATGGTCATTATAGCTGTATCTAGACTGAAAAATGCCTCAAATACAGCTATAATGACCTTACGTTATATTCGGGGGAAGAAGGTTTCCTCAACGCCTGAATCTGGACGTGTCTGTGGATATGTGCAGAAATCATGTTGACTTTTCTCAACTGCACATCTCCACGAACGTGTCCAGATTCAGGCATTGAGAAAACTCAACGCTGCTAGTGGGACCTGGCCCCGGGCAAGCTTCTCATCCTTACTGCCCAAAGCATCGGATGGCAATTTAGGCAAAGGCCCGCAGTGCTTTTTTTTTGTTGTTGTTGTTGTTGTTGTTGT